AAAGGAACCACAGAAATTGTCACGTTTGATAAGTTCAGCTTAATATGAGTAGAATTGAACAAAATAATTCGCTAGAAAACTCTCACTATGTGCTCATTCTACTCAAGAAAAACACTCGCCTCACATCAGCAGGTGACTCGGCTGTCATTTCGTCTTCGGGTGAGAAGTGACTACCAATTTTTCGTTGCTAGGAAATGTTCCTGCCAACTTAAAAAAAAAAAAAACTGCCTGCATCTGTGGCTGTTTAAGATCACAATATAGAAAAATTATTAATAACAGTCTTACTAATGATAACAGTTCTGTTATATTGCAGAAACACCATCACATATCTTTACTTCCAGTTTTCTGTTGTGCTGAGTGCATTACACCTTTGCAAGTTTCGTGAGGAGGTTAAAGAAATCTGCCCATTATCATGCTGAAAACCACAATTGATGTTTTTGCTTAATTATCAGTGAAATTTAGGGAAAATAGTTACTACTGGTATACATATTTGTAAATCTATGCTTTATGCAATTCTTTGGCTCTTCCATATTGCTAAGGAGCTGCCGTTTAGTGATGTGTAAAAGTATTGAGTTCTGGATGTGTCCCTGAAGTTCTGCATTTTTACAATGTTCCAAGGTGTGGAGTTTCTTTCCTAATGACATGCAGCAGTCTAATATGAAAGAGTTGTCCTAGATTCATGGCTATTACCAGTAGATCAGTTAAAGGGACAGACAACCGATTTTTTTCGACCCAGTTTTTTTTTTTTTTTTTTCGGTCGCGACCGAATGCTTACTCTGTGCAATGTTCCCAGCTGCAATAGTTACTCTCAAAAGCACGTAATTATTTTGATAAGCGGTATTTATTGATTTGAAATGCTCTGAACATGTATGTGCTTTTTTTGTCCAGCAATACTGAGAACTGAAAGCGATTCCGGTAGCCCTTCTGGCGACTTGTGCATGCTGTCATTGTTCTGCTTTCGCAGGAGTTCCTGTAACCATGCTTAACTGTAACTATGCTTATGAGACGATGTGGCTTTATACAGCTTCCTTGTATTTGTCCCACGTTCCGTGCGCCTGCGCCCAAGGTTGATGCGCCTGTGTCGTAGATGGCTTGTCCTGTTGTCGTTACTCTCTCGACACACGAGCCAAGTCACCGTGAATGTCACCGACTTTCGTTTCTGAGACAGTGTAGATAAAAAAAACCACATCACTTCAAAATCTCGGCAACCTAGAAACTATGTGCACGATTTCATGAGCACGTAGGAAAGTTGCTCAGGATGGGCTGACAAGCACGGGATCATTACGTCATGCAAAGGCAGCGCCACTTTATTGCATACTACTGATGCAGGCCTATAAGTACATTTTTATTGAGTAATATCTTTTACTATAAAAAATAAAACACTATTCCTAGTCTAACAGGAAAATTGTTGATCGCGTACAGTAGTTTATGGTCATGTCACAGAGCAGATCGGATAATTGAAGTTACTGCCACCAGGTGATGGCACATGCTATTTTCGCAATTTCTAATGAAGAAATAAAACTATAACTTTACTTTTCAGAAGAAAGATAGGGTTGGTTTGACTCACTATTAGGGTCAATATTTCCATCCGTGCAGTCATTTAATTTTATGTCCTGGGCAGTTGTCGGTCCCACGAAGGGGATAACTTGAGAGCTCTCAGTCATAAGGAAGGGGTGATAATATTGCTTCTTACAGGGCATAAGCTTTCTCTCATTCAGCCCCACAAAGACCAAAGATTATTGCACTATCACTGAAAATTACAACATTTTATTTCTTTTGTGCCTTGCGGGTTAAGCTTCTATAAAAAAAAATACAATGTACTATAGGAAAAAATATTTTTTTGTAAATGCTCAGTAATTCTTTTTGTTTCACTATCGATAGAACCTGATCAAAGATATTGCAAGCATTACTGTGAGCTTTACAGTACATTCACGGTTGTTTTATCACTACAGTATCTAATAAGCATATGATATAACTACAACAGCCTTATTTTATTACAAAAATACAATATTGTTTCACAGAATTTAAATCCTTAACCAGAGGGTCAAGGATTGAGATTCTAGTCATCAAGAAAAAAAATCCACTTGATGAGATTACGGCTCAAGCACACGACCCCTGCTTTCGTATGGTTTCATAACCCGAGGGTAGTTGCTGATCTATTCTGGAAAACAAATGATTCAGATACGGGTTCATGCATTTTTGTTTGTCAATAATATGATCAACTGTGTCAAAAAAGGAAAGAAGTTAAATGTAAAACAAAGCACAGTAAAAATTATGCATCTGGCTTTACAATGTTGCATGAAGCAACACATTGACATAACACAGCAACTTTGTGATGCACAGTTCTAGCTAGTATGGCACTACAGAACTTCTTATAAACACCAGAAGGTTAGTTTGCAACTAAACAAATGTGATAGAATTGTTTTTGCAGTTCATTAAACAGTTCACTTTAAAGCAAGTCCACTGCATAACATATAATTTCACCTAAATTTCCATGCCTCGTGCCTTTATCTTTTTAACTATGTGATTTGCCATAATGGCTGAGACATTGTGTGCATGTTTTTGTGAATTTACAGTCACTTCCACAAAATGTGTGCGATGTTTTTTGGAATTTGTGCTATGCTGTAAAAAAAATAGTACAGTAGACTCTCAGTAAACGAAAATCTGTTAAATGAAACTACTGCTTAAACAGAACTATTCCCTCTGCAGTGCTTGGTTTTGGGCTTGTATTCTGCACCCATGTTCACCTCTCGGTAAATGGAACTCCTGTTAAATGCAACATATTTTCCCGGTCCCTTCAGGTTTCGTTAACTGAGAGTCTACTGTATGTCACTGGTCTCGTGAATAGATTAGTGGCACATTTAGGACTCTATTGTCGTCAATTTCACAGTCATATGTGTAGTGATAGACTATAAAATCAAAGTTTCGTTTTTAAGTTTTATGCCAAAATCTCTGCAAGTTGCGTCACAAATTTCAAAGCATCTTTTTTGTATTATGGTGAGATTGGCTTGATCAGATTTCGTGAAACTTGATATGTCAAATCTTTGGCACCCTGTAAAAGTAACGGTCTTCTTTGTTTACCGAGTAGAAAATACAGATGACCTAGTAGACACCTTTAAAATCTATGACATCATGGCGTTTTTTGCTGGCAATCCAAGGTGGCATCGCCACTCGCATTACCTTTTCCCATGTTTTTTTGCTAGTGTGTTCTAACAGTAAGAGTAATATGCGTTTTTGGTATTGTGACCAATATGCGAAAAATCGTTTCTGTGTCCTTTTAAGACTGGTAATTGCATAAATTTGGGGGAGGTTAGTGTGCATCTACACCCTCCCCCCCCCCCCCCCCCCACACACACAGACTTGAACGTATATATTGATATAGGTGCAAGCTAAAGCACACTAGCATCAATATCTATCACTTGTTCGGCTCTGTTTTATTATACCTTGATGCTAGCTTATTTATTTTATTTATGAATACTGCAACCCTAACATAGGGTTTTGGCAGGGTGGATATACATTTGATAAGTTTACAAATCGGCAAACAAATAAATATAAAACAGGTAAGGCATTTCCACACTTTCAGAACAAAAAAAAAAAAACACTGGTTTGTAATAAACCGGCATAAGAACATATAGAGAAATGAGCGCTACATTCAAGATGATCACAAGTGGAGAATGGTTACAGTGATTGAAATAAACAACAGGAGCACATGTCATAGAAATTAGACACTCGCTGCTAGAGCTGCGCAGTAAAAAGGTTCAAGGATGACTGGGAAACAACTTCGTTACTAAGGTTATTCAATTCGGTAATTGTCCTAGGGAAGATCGAATACTTGAATGTGTTATTACGTGTGGAAAATGGGGTTATTGTAAAGGCATGCCTCTGCCTTCAGGTATATCCTATGGACAAATGAAGTATATGTGATAAGTCTAACTTAAAATAACCTTTAACTAACTCAAAGACAAATTTCAATCTCACTACTTTATTTCTTTGTGTAGGTGTTGGGAGGTTAGCTTCAACTTATTTTCTCAAGTTACATTTTATGACTACTTCTCCAAAGCTCTTTGTTGAGGGTAAACTTGTTTATTATGAAATTAGTCGTTTTTGTCTCGAATTGTGTGGTGCAGAGTCGGATGTGAGGCTCCTAGTTTGCCCTTTGGTTGTGCTGTCCAATAAGTCAATTGTGATGTATTGTGGTGTTCTGGGTCACTCTTGTCCCTCACTGTCGGTGCTCCTGTTTGTGTTTCTTCCCCGCCTGCTTTTCAGGGATTCTGGGAGCTATGACGATGGCAAACATACACGTACAAGTAACGAACCTCCTTTTTGACCTGCACTTGCACACTCAAGGTTGCTGCTACACACATTCACACCTGCAACGCGTTCTTATGCATCCGCGGGTGCATGCACGCACCTTGTATTTTTCTAAAGCATTTGCTCGAGCTTTCACACCATATTTTGGTATTGTTTAAAACATTGCAATGGTGTGAATGGAAGATTTCAATTTATTACGTCGCCCCCCCTCCTTTCTTTTTCAAAGTGTACGTTTTATAAATCTGCACTGAGGTGCAGTGGGTGTACAAACCTTCAGACCCTGTCAGCTTGTGTTGTTGGCACTGTAAACTTTAGATGGCTGTTCTAGCACTGCATTCCTGGCTGGAAACTGTTGCACGCAAGCTGCGGAAGGCACCCTCTATTGTGTGTAATTATGTTCTAAAGTATGCAGACATTGAGCGAGTTTGAATGTGGCGCATGAGAAAGCATAGCAAAGGTAATTTTTGCATCAAAACATCTTACTTTCCCATTCGTTCATTTTTTGCAGTTTTCTGATTTGTGAACTTATCTCTTTAATGATGAAAAAAAGCAAGAGAAGCGCTTTCACAAGATATTGCCACTGAAATACTTGCATTTGTTTTCTTTGTCACATAAAGGGAAAGAAAAAGGGCAAAAAATAATCAAGTTCTAGGAGTAATTCCTGCTCTTTTACTTCATTTGCGCTGCAGGTTTCTTCTCCGGAAGGAGACCTGTTTTCGGCGAGCTGTCGCGGGGATGACATGTACCCAGTGCACGATGACGACGATGATCCCGACTACTATGGTGACCCCCGTGTGCACCCGCCACCACCTGTCATGGCCACCTCGTATCGCGGAGCTGCAAGTAGTAATTTCGATGACTGGGACGACGCCCCGGACCCGTATCTTGAGGAGAAGTTTGGCGACTTATCGCCACCACCTTCGCACCTTCGACACCACCACCATCCACACTCCGTGGCAGCACAGCGACGGCACCACCATCATGGCCGCCGTCCCTCTGAGTATGACCGTGACGAGTGTGACGACGACCGCAACTATAGGGGTGGGGGCAGTGGGAGTGGTGAGACAAGTCTGCACAGAGGACAGAAGTACCCCGTCAATGTGCTCTAGCAGAGACTTGGCCCTCTTTGTGTTGGCTTTTTAGCAGCATCACATTGTCACCGCAGACAGGTGGTGATGACAACGATGCTCCATGACGTGCCATGGCTTGGCAGCCACCGGCAGGGCTAGCGCAATGTCGGTGCTTTCTCGCTCGCTGTGTATCCTCTTCAAAGCACAGTTGCCACTTTGTGCAGCCAACTGTCATATTCTATGACAAGCCAGCCCTCCCAAACAGCACGGGCAGGTCACAGGCTTGGCTGCCACTGCAGCGACGGCTCTTCCTTGGGCAGCAGCGTTATGCACCTGTGCAGCCCATGCGAGGCACCCCTCAACATCCTGCCTTTTTCAACAGCAAGCGGTTGACGTCTTTGTTTGGCGGAAAAAAGAAACCGCGTGGTTGTGCCACAGGACCAGACCACGGTCCTTCTCCCCACCCCCTGCCTCCCCCAGTGTGCGACACTCCTGCATTTGTTACCAAGAGATGAAAGGACAGAGCACATCTCTCCACTGCAACTATCTCGGCAAGCTTGCCTTATGCGTCCACAACCACCATTCTGCTGCTCAATGCAAAATGTTTTTTTTTTTTTTTCAAGCATCTTGCTGCGACTGTCCACTGCAAGGATTGTCACGTGCACTTTCAGGGCACTTCCTTTCAAGTGCTTTTCAACTCCTTCTGCAATTTTTCACTGGCCAAGATGGCGTTCCTTCTCGCCTGAGAGTGGACATTCTCACCGTGCAGAATGTAGGCGTTCAGCATAGCTCTACTGTTTGCACCTTTCTAGTTCCTTAATTTCTGGCATTCTTTGCTGTGCAGCAGCAAGAGTTACGGTCAAAGACCATCACACCTTACCCTGTGCCAGGTAGAGGTTTTTCTGTTGTTTAGGTATATGCTGACTACATTTCTTGAGAGCTTAGAATTTCCTGTGGAAACGTGAGCTCAGTGACTTGAAATCTTAAATACGCCACAAAATTCCTTAACATTCAGGGAGATTCAACTTTGTGTATGTTGCAATCTTTGTACATCAATTCGCATCTGTTTTGTCACGAGACATTCTTTTCTAGGGACAGATTTTCCTAGAGTTCTTAGGGAATTTTTTAGAAGTTGTTAAGATGTCTTAGCATTGTTTTTATTTTTCATTATCATAGTGTCTTTTCAGTCTGTTCTGACTGTTTCTGTATGAGTCATTGCATGGTATCAGCACTTGTTTGGCAACTTTTGTGTGACTTTCATGCCATACCTAATGCGCTCTTTTAAATTAATCGTTTGTTCATGTTCATGTTTTACAGGCTTTAGAAAGGTTTAAGTAGCATTCATGATGTCTCAAGACAAGCGTTCTTGACATCAAAAATGAAACTGAACCTTTTGGTTAATTTAAGGTTTAGTAATGTATTATTTTGAAAATGCTAGGTGGTAGAATGTAGCGCGTGTGCTGATTTCGGGCGTTTACTTAGGGTGTCATAATTTTTTAGGTATTGCAGCCATTTTATTCGGAGCCCTATTTTTCCCCTTCTGTTTATCAGCATATGGATTCAGTTTATGTAATATGCTTTCATAAAATTGGAAGTTGCTAAATGCATTGCAACATTGAGCCCTAGCTCAAGCTTCTTTTATCAATCTTTCAATTAAAGTCCTGACAAATAAAAAAGGTGCAATACTTCAAACATTTTTCATGACTGCTATATACTTGCAACTTACAAAACTATCTGCAACATGTGTAGTTGCCTTTTGGGATGGGAGCACATTTTGGCAACCATCTTCTAATGTGCACGAAACAGTGCTGATTTGAATTTCCATATCGATCTAAATTGACTAAATGCTTGCTTTAGCAGCTATGCAGAAATGATGTTTATCAAGTTAGCCTGATAACTAGAATCTTTCATGTTGCTTTTAGGTCATTCATGCCCTTTCATGTAATGTACATCTGTAGTGAATGGGGGTTTTTATGAGTCATCAAAAATGTAGCAGAGTCATGTTGACTGCAGAAAAGGAACTGACGCTAGAAGTACATTTCACCTTTTCTAAGCTTCTATTTCCTTGAATCCCAAAGCACTTTAAAGGCCTCATGACTGACTTTGCATTAAGCTGAAATTTTTGTGAAACAGCTTGCTGTTTCTCAGTTGCTGTTGGCCTGTAGGCTTCTAAATAATGCTTTTTTTTAAGTAGCTGCAGACATATAGTTTATAAATTAGAAGATTCTGTTTGACATTACTCTTTAAGGTACCTTAGGGCAAGATTCCAGACAAACACAGCACTAGCAATGCCCATGACTGCTCCCTTTGCAGCAAAATCTATTTGGCTGCCTGTGATTTTTTTACGGGCCTGCGTTTATTTTATGGAAGAAGTTCGGGTGTGGCATGCTCAGAGAGCTCGTATGGGTTCTATACATGATGTTTTGTACACATAGTATATATTGTAGCAGCTGTTTTCATGACTATATTCAGTGTATCATTGTGTTTTATTTGATGAAAATTTTTGGGTAGTGCGTATGCATATTTTTCATAAGCTTGTTTGTACAGTGAGTTTCTGTTTGAAAGGCAAAATTCGTTTCGAATTCCCTGAAGTTTAAATGGCATGATGTATATAACATTTGTTTTCTTTTTTTCTTTTTTTTTTTTGCATGTTTTTAAATTTGAATATAGCTGAGTGAACTCAAATGATCCTTGTGATATGAAGATTGACTTGACGCTTGCAGTAGTTTAAGTGTTTCACTTTTTGTAATGGTGGACTTCTGTTAAATATTTATCTAGCTTCCTCTGTTATGCTGTACTCCAGAATTATGACTATAATTCACTTGCGTTTAAGCTGCATGATGTCATTCAGTAGAATTATGGTGCTGTATTTAAGGTTGAATTAGTACTTCGATTTTGTGGTTTGTGGCACCGTATTATCAGATACCGTGGGAGAACATACTTGAGACTCTTTTCTTCTGAAGTACTCATTCTGGTTCCGATTGCAGTTCTGATTGCATGTAGGTTACAAACTTTACTGCTACCAACGATAGTGTTTGCACACTGGTATACTTACGGATGTGCCACACCCATGCCAGAGATGCACATAGGCAAAAGTGCGTTAAGGAGGTTGCTGCATCATACTATATATATAAATATGTATATTACAAACTGTAGCTGGAGGGACATGAACAGGATTGCCATGGGGCAACTCTTTTGTCTGATGAAGCTGCCTTACAACTGCGACTCTGTGACAGCGACTGCTCATGTTAGGTGAGTGCAAGGAGAGGCAAAGCAAGAACAGTGTGATGTCCTTTTGATAAAGCTCTGCGATCCTTGCCTCTACATTCGAATGTCAAAAACCTGTTATAGCCAGTTGCAGAACGTTCGCAGTTACTGCGCCTGTACTTGACAAGGTTTTAGCTCCGCCCACGAAGCCTTCATTTCCAGCTTCGAAGCATGCGCAAACCACTTAGGATATTGCAGAGAATCATGTCAGCATCATGTCAAGAAGCCAGCCAGAGGCATTTACTTGCCCAGGGGAGGTTCCTGTGAAGTACATGTGCTGCCGTTTAACATAGTGTTCCACAAAAGACTTTGTTATCCCCAATGGTGTCTTGATTTTATTTATGAAACTTCATGCACTTGAGACCAAGGTACAGCTCTTGGATATTAACTGTATTTTACAATACCGAGAGGCAGCTGTTGTACATTTGCGGTACTGCAGCTGTGTGTGAGGAATCCCATTGCAAATGTATTCTTCATCTGGGTGTAAATTTACCTCGTAGAGAAAAAAAAAAAATTCGATTCGTAGATGTGTATTTTAAGAAGATCACACCAGGTGAAGGAGGCGAGTTGTAGTTAACTGATTGTCTTACTGCTGGCTTATTTTAATTTCTAAACACAACTAAGGCTACTGGTTTAACCTTGCTGCTCCAAAGGGCACTTTAATCGCATAGCAAGCTTGCTTTCATGATTTACGAATGAAGCTTCTAGCTTAAGCATGTATGCGTCATTGCGTGACTTGTTTGTAGAAATAAAAGCTCTTCTCTGTGAGCAGAACATTCTGCTGCTTTCATGGCAAACATTTTTTTTTTTCTGGTTAGGTACTGCTCTTTTTGTTTTTGATGTCAGTGCATTAACTTTTTCTTGGCCTGTAGGCATTGTTTCAGCTAGGGCAATGTTCATAACATACCACTTTCGCTCGAATGTCTTCACACCTGCCACATAACACACACCTGCCACATAACAATCCCTTCACAATAGCGCAAAAATCCATGCAGCTCATTCTGCATTCCCTATGACCATCTTACTTCAGAATATGTTCTTTAATTTCATTTTACACAATCATGATTTTATTAGTATCTCGACTAGTTAATTTTTGTCTATGCAGTGTTTTTGTCTAGTGCTTTAACTGAAGCAGCAAGGACTGTACGGAATGTACTTGTGTAGAGAAGCGTGCACAACATTTTTTCATTATTCAGGAGTGAGATAAGATGAAATATTGTGCACAGGGATATTATTGATAGCTAAACAGCTTTAATTACTTTTATTGTGAGTACAGCAACAGTTGAAGTTGCTTTACTCACAATACATGGTTCTAGCATAGAATACCTTACACAAGACTTCGCAAGGTTTTTCATGCGAACAGCTAAGTTTCCCCTGAGTAGTTGACAGCTGGCCTTAAGGGGCCACGCATATTGTGACTTGCTTGCTCAGAGTTTTTCAGTATGTCACGAATTCACAACACTCGGCAGTTCAGGGTTAATTCTGGAAGAACTTAGTTAAATCAAGTTCATTGCCATGAAAGCTTCGTTAATTCGAGCTTATGACAAGAATGAACCTTGTGGGTGCCTACCCGAGAATGAAAATTTTTCTTTGTTAGGTCGGGAAATTCGTAAAACTGGGTTTCGTTAGCAATTTTAAACTGTTGCATTGGTGTAAATGTTTTTTTTTTTCATTTACATGATATAGTCCTTGCTGCTCATGTCACTAAACCATGTACACTAGCAGTAACAAGCTGCCTGTGCAGTTGTCAACTTCTTGTCAGGTGACAGGCAGCAATAGTTTGTCTTCACTTTCATTGCATAAATGGCTTGTCAATATTGTACACACTGTGTATAAATAATTTCAGCTGTTTATCTTGTGTTGTTGCTTTTGTTATGCCAACACATTTTTTAGCAACTTTCAGACTGGCTGAATATGCTAGACCTTGTTATAGAAGCTCTGTGGGCAGTAATATTCTACTTAAATACAGGCATTAGTCCTGTCAGTCATCTGGAGCTGTCTATGAAATAAACTGCTCCGAAATCTGCGAAAGCATTCACGTGAAAGCAAGCTATTTCAGATTCACCGTCGCACAAAAAAAAAAAACACCCTCACACTTATGCTTGTTGCATAAGCTGTGCACTACTTGAAGTTAGTATTCTCCTATGTAGCATAGCAAACTTTGAGCGAAACTGCATGATATATTGATGTCTTTTGATGGGCTACTGAAGGTTTTCACTTTTGAATTTTTGACAGCATTGACTAAAGTAATCCTATGCTAGTTGTTTATTAGGGGTGTGCTGGAACACGGTTCTGCTTTGCAAAATCGCCATTGCAGAGCTTGATTTAGTTTCTTTGCTAAAGAACACAAAAACATCATGCCTTCATAAACTGTGAATTTTTGTTGTGTAAACAGATACAGAAACATGAGAGTGTAAAATAAAACAAGAAAAGTGCTTGAGGATGAAGAAAGAGAGAGCTGTCAAAGGTGAAACAGTCACTCATCGCGCCAGGAGCATAACTAGAATTTGCTCAGGACATCACAGCCTGCAGAGATGTGACACAAGTGTAACATCGACCTAACCTTTGTATCAATGCATAGGCAATTGTAACGGCCTTTAGCACTGATAGTCCTTTCATTGTCTCTAACTAGTTTTTACACGTGGCATTGCTTTCGCATTTTCCTAGCACACACCATGTGTAGACAGAGATGTTGCATCATCAATTCCCTCTTGTGTTTTGTTTTCAAGTTTCACTGGCGATGATGACGCTGCTCTGAGAAGCAAGTGCAGGCCTCTTGCTTTTTCATGTAGTTTCCCCTCTTGCCCAGGCACGCTAGCAAAAATGAGCACTGACCGTAATTGGTCTCTGGTATGCACTCATGCTGAGCTAGCTGCTAGAACTGTACCTGCTGACCTCAGTGACTTTTCTTCTTCTCCTGGGGACTTTCTCTGTATACACGCGGTGGCCCTTTGTGGCACTGGGACCCTGACTGTTCATCGAACAACCAGCCTCAAATGTTCTTGTCCCCTGCGCTTTTCTCGTGTCCAGTCATGACTCACCCACAGTGTGCATATGTGTGTGCCAGGCTCTTTGACGGCTTTTGTTTGTGTTCTTTTGTTGGACGTGGTAGTTCTCGCCTGTTCGCTCATGCTCGTTAAACTTACTTCGCGACAGTGTGTGCAAATGCATGGAAATGGTGCGAGTGCCTCTGTGTTGTGTGCATTGCTTACACTTTGGTGATGTTCACAGAAAGAGTGCTGTGTGGCTCATGGTAATGAGTGGCATGGTTGGCATGTTGATTGATGCTTTGCTTCCCATTCCACTTATTTGGTGAGCAGAGTTGCGTTTGCATGTGTGTATTTACCGGTGACCACGTTCATGCGCGAGACAATAGCAACACCGATCAAACATGTTGCAATGCTGCATGTGCAGGACTGGCCGCGAGAAAAGCAGATTAGGTTGTAGAAGAGCCGATTGGAAAGAAAAATGCTACAATTAGAGTGTTCAGTGACGCCACCGTCCTTTTGCTGATCGGGGCAGTGCTGTTATGATATTGGGTGTAGTCACGTTGAGTGGCTACAGTGAATATATGAGCCCCTGAACGATAGTTCCCCACTGTGACTGAGAATAAAGCGTGTGCAGAAATGCTACTGACTAGAATCATTATAGTGAGAACCAATGGAAAATAAACACCGCTCCGCACTTATGCTCTCAGAAGTGCTTGTGGCCTCTTTCCCATCTTGTCAATTTTGTAAAACAAGAAAAAAATGATGGTTGTGATGCAGGTTACATTGCATGTAGCTTAATTAGTCACACTCCTTTCTGAGTATGGCATTTATGTATGCTCTGTAGAGTTCCCATCTTCAATGAATAGCAGCAGCATTTTGCTCACAATTCTTTTAGCTTTTATTGTTGTCCTTTCTTATCCTAGTTGTGGCGCAAAATCCGTGCTGCCTGTGTGACACAGGTGTGGATGATTTGTACATATGTGTACGCAAGAGCGTGTTGGTTTCTCCCTAGCTCTGTCTCTCTCTCATTCTTTCTCTTGCTCTGGCCTTCTTCCTCAGCAGGTTTCTTTTCCCAGCAGTGTTTGAACTACTAAAAGACTCCCTTTCTCACCCTCTTGTAAAATGTGCGTTTGAAGTTTTCTACTCATCCTCTCTTTCGATGCGAGAAAAGGGCTGGTATATATACATATACATATATATATACATACAGGCAAGAGCTGATGCTAATTGAAATCTGTGTGAATGAAGGGTGTATGCTCCTTGCTTGCACGCCAGTTCTGAGCGTGCTTTGTCGGGGATTGTGTGTTTCTCTTTTTTTTCTTGAACAAAGTGTTTTCATAATGAAGGCTCCTGTAAGGAAACTGCGTATATGTATATAGTACATATACATGTATGCACGCAGTGTAATGTATAAATACGAAACAAAACCTTTACGGCAGTTTGTAAATAAAGACATTGCCAAACATTGTTCTGTCATTCTTGGCATGAAAGCCATTGTTCATGCTTCACTATGGACACATTGTTCACTGTTTACTATGATGCCTGCATGCAAACTTGCTCACAGGACTGTGATGGAGCTAAGCAGAAATATGAAAGTTAAGGTATGCTTGCATGCAGTTTACAAAGCCTAATTGCATACAGCACGATGCTAGTTCAAATTGTATGTTAAACATACAATGGTGTTGCAGCTGCTAAACAAGCACTTCGCAATGACACAGCTGCACAACTTGTTGGCTCTGTTTGCTTTCGCAGTGGAACATTCACCATCGGTGTCTCGCTATGGTTAGCATTGATATCATGCAAAGTGTTGGCTGAGCTGGCTGATGAGTGGGAGGTCATGGGTTTGAATTTGAGAGGCATAGTGCTTGGCAATATTCTGAGCAGTGCAGAATGCGAAGGTGTTACAAGAAATAAAATGCTAGAACATGTTCTCACATGGTGTCACTGGTGATCAGTGCATTTTTATGTTTTACTCAAGGGACTGCTCCTCTAGCGACTTTAGTTGCAGTAGTTGGTTACCGGTAGCAGGCAGGAGGAGGGGCAGAACCTCCTTGCATGAAAGAATTCTGCACCCACAACATTCGGGAGCATGTGTGCAGAAGTACATCTCATTGAACCATGGTTGGGTCCTGGCAATACTTGTTCTGAGACAGTACCTCAGTGAAACCACTTCACCAATGGCTGTCTGATATGAAGAAAATGGTAAATTTTAGGTTCTCGTTTTTTTTGTTAAATGCAATATTAATGAGAATAACATGCAAAGATGCCGAGGATCTGACCTGGTTGTTAGTAAACAGTTCTCCGACTTTAGCTAGGTGATGCTAGGTTGGTTCTAAAATCAAGATGGGAATCGACAGATGGAAACTCGTGGTGGGATGATCAATGACGTGATCTCCTGGTGGTGGTGCGTGTGGACAAGTGCCACCACTAGGTGATGACGTCACTACTTTAAAACTAACACGTCTAGGATGACACGGCGCCTTTGAAAAAGATAGGTCATCCTATCGAAACGTCGGCCAGCCTCTCTGAGGCACTTCTACTGTTCACCCCGATTATCCCACTAGGTTGTTCTAGGTTGTTACGTGACTTTAGTCAGGTGATTTGAAGAATTGCAGTAAAGCATAAAGCTGGGTGAGTTGGTTCATAGCGACAGGAAAGCACAGCGCGACCTGTATACTATTCATGAACGAAAGGGTGTGGGGGGGGGGGGGGGGGAGGGATACGTAGCTCGAGCAGCAATATAAACTGATTTTAACACTGGCGAGCGCGCTGTTTCAGCAGGCATCAGCGGACGGCTTGGATGGGAGGGCGGGGGGGGGGGGGGGGCGTATCTGCCACTTATTTGAGGGGGTGGCCACAGAACGGGTGGCGCGGTCACTTGAAGTAAAACTGAAGGGGGATAGAGTTTCTCGAATGTTCTTTTCTATTTACTATGATCACAAGAACCGCATTACAGAACGTATACTGTTAACTTGTGATATGAGTGGTCCCGCCCGTTTGTCCTAATCGGTGTAGGGTGGACTGAAGGGATGAAGGTGAATATACAGCAGGAGCCGAGCCGCCGGAACGACGGCTGATCGACCGATGTGCTTCCTGAGCAGGTGTATCACTTAAGTATGCCCAGAGGTGCCAGAGGTATGCCGGCCTTGTTCGCTTGCTTGCGCGCTTTTTCTTGAGCCGGAAAATCGAGACTTACGAAAAAAAAAAAAAAAGTGATGGAGCTCAATATCTGCCAAAGGCCCTCACTGATTTTGGTTCCACGTTGCGCAATGAGAAATCCGGGCGAGCATTCTTCACTTTTTATTCACAAGCTACGTTGGCTCGCGGAGCTTATGGCAGCGTTTGCTTACGGCACCACAGTTTCCTTTTCTTCTCGGCTCTGGTGGAGCTTCTTTGCGGTTTTGTTTTCGCCTGTCTTTAGTTATAGTGACCTACTTTGATGCGGTGGCGTCAGGAGCGCCGGTGAATTTATGCGCGGTACTTCATTCTGTTGAACGCAAATCGGCAAGTCATGCAAGCGAAGATATGAGCGGCCATAGTTCGTGTTGTGGTGTGCTGAGTGTTCGCGTTGTTTTGATAAGTTTAGAAGCACAGAAGCTTGGGCGAGTTTGTGTAATCTGCCTCTCGTATCTTGTCGCGCTCTTAATACCACTATGGTTTTGATAGGTGTTGAAAATGATGCGGTAAAACTGAAGAGTGCGCTCAGTATTTGTCTAATCAAATACGAAGGCGAGTCGCTGGACATGTATACATAGGTATGCTTTCAGTTTCTCAATTTTATTGATAAATTGTGCGCCCAGTAAAAATAAAGTGTTGAGATAGTGTCTCGTTAAGTAAAATGGTTAGCCTTGGTTTGTCCGGAACAAATATTCCTATGGGCACATTTATATGCCTGCCGCACCTCAACATTATTATTATTTTTTAGCACTTGCACTTTGATATTAGGCTTAGACTACTATGTGGTGAAGGGCAAGGGAAGTTTCTGAAAGGCACCGAGAGGCAATTCATAGTTTGCAAATACATGGCTAAATCAGAAAGCAATAGTTTTATTACTATCTGATGCTAGAAATTATTGAGTTTTGTTTTATGGTCAGAATAAACAGTTATAAACCGGTATTTACGTCTGCAAAATTTGCCACAAATATCGCTTGCAGAGCGGATTCACGCACGCCCGGATGCATACTGTTTTTTATCTACCCGCTTGTTAATCTTGAGGAAATCCTGCAATAGCCCCGCCGCAGTGGTCTAGTGGCTAAGGTACTCGGCTGCTGACCCGAAGGTCGCGGGATTGAATCCCGGCTGCGGCGGCTGCATTACCGATAAAGGCGGCAATGTTGTATGCCCGTGTGCTCAGACTTGGGTGCACGTTAGAGAACCCCAGGTGGTCGAAATTTCCGGAGCCCTCCACTACGGCGTCTCTCATAATCATATTGCTACATGCATGCATACTGAGATTCTAGGGGGCGACGCGCGTGTGGGCCTGACGAGGATGACGAAGTGTGGCCTCCACTCGATTGCTGGTGAACTGGTCACGCCATTAACGCTGGTTTCTAATACATCTTATCCACAGCCTCGTCGATACGGCGTCTCTTCTTTTCCGTAACAATATGGTGGTTTTGGGACGTTAAATCCCACATATCAATCAATCACCAAATCGTGCATTAACACCGTGACAAAGAGGAGCAACACTGGGACGAATGAAAAATTCGGTCTCCGTGTTCTCGTGCAAATTCGTAACGATGCTAACGATGCAGATTACCCAACTAGGCCGACTGGTTCTATTGCCTCACTTAATTGTTAAGTTAGTAGGTAGCCTTGAGCGACGTGCCCGTACAGTGAGTATAATTGTTGTGGCCTCATGCCACAAATCTGCACATTCAAAGCCAGCGGGCGTTTAGTCTACAGGGCAATGAGACCTTCAGAAATAACTGCAGACGCCACGAGAAGCTTGATTACTTGTGAAGGCAGGTTTCGATGGCATTGCGGATTGTTTATAAGGGCTTAGAATTGTTTGAAGAGGTGCTAAAGTTATACAATGAACCAATTTAAATAACCGATAAAATTATACTTTCAAAACTCTATTTTTCTTACTTTCGCCATCATAAGTTACAACAGAAGAAAAAAATTGTGGCAAAAGTTTCATTGTTAAATTTCGCGCCAAAGTCTCCGCACGCAGCGTCACGGATTTGGAATGTGTTATTCTTGTTTCGGCTCCACTGTGTGTATAAAATTTTTCCAAAATTTGGTATGCTGAGCTTCCGACTTCCTCAAAAACAATGCAAAACATATTTACTGATTAGCAACGACGTAATCCAAAGATGTATGGCTGTCAATGCGGGAACTTCACCCCCCCCCCCCCCTGAAATATATCACTTTTGCAATTGATTGATATGTGGAGTTTAACGTCCCAAAACCACCATATGATTATGAGAGACGCTGTAGTGGAGGGCTCCGGAAATTTCGACCACCTGGTGTTCTTTAACGTGCACACAAATCTGAGCACACGGGCATACAACATTGCCGCCTCGATCGGAAATGCAGCCGCCGCAGCCGTGATTCGAACCCGCGACCTGCGGGTCACTTTAGCAAGTGTGTGTATATACACACATGCAAATACATACGCGTACATACAAAAAAAAAAAGGTATTTGAACCCTCTCCCCACTCCCGAAGAAAGTTTGCGAATACGCCACTGCCTCCCGCATTTTTCCTTTTGTGCGTTTTCCAGCTTACCAAGCGTCTCCTCGATACTAGTGTGGTTATTTTGGTATTGTGAAAGAGTGGTTTATTTATTTAAAAAAAAATCGCTTTCTTTTTAGTGTCCCTCAGTTTTGAACAGGCAGCCCTCACCACTAGAACCATTTTGACTCGACAAAAATAGGACTATCCTGGGGAGTGCCGATTACCCTGAGTGTCAATCATGCAAGAAGAATCATCTTCATAAAAAACAAAAAGCCGCTGCTGTAGGCAGAGCAGCGAAATGAAGACGACGAGATTGAAGCGCTGTAGTCGAGCGCGGCGTTGTCGGGTCTCGGGTCTGAAACATGTCGCGACGGCTAGAAGACGAGGAGTGGCTGATCCACCAGTCGCTGCCGAAGTTGCTGGCGTCGCAGCGCCGGGACCCATTCATCAAGACCTGCATCACGTACTCGGGCGCCGCGTGCGTCGGGTTTACACTTCTGCTTATCGGCGTGTTCGTCTGTGTCATCGCGTACGACGTTCGCAGGACGGATGGCCACGCCGTCGCAGTTTTTCCAGTGAAGGTCCGATCGCTGCGCCGGGGACCTGTGCCCATACTGTGCCACGTGAACGTGGCCAGATTCTACGACAACGACGTCAGGTACAGGACGGTGGATCTGCCTGGTAACTACTGCTCGCACCTCGTGCTCCCTCTGCGGGGATTTTTCAGCGGCACCAATGAAACACCGGACGCCAGTCTGGCCTTTGGACTGGTGCAATCACGGCTAATCGAACTGCGAAACGAAGTGAACAAGAGCTTCCCCCACCTCAAGTACCTGATCTCCGTGGGTGACGAGAATGGCGGTGGCAGCCGGCTGACTTTCCACGAAACGCCCAACGTGACCGCGTACATGACCTTTATCGTTGAGATGGTTCGCTGGGTCCTGCACAACCGCTTCCATGGGATCGTGCTCAACCGCGTCTTCCCCATCGAGAAGGAGCATCAACGGCACATGAGAGTCTTCTTGTCGCATCTCAAACAGGTCATGCACAAGCACGGACTCCTCTTTGTCGTCACCGCATCGTCGCACACTGGCATCTTCAAGTCGGGCGCCAGACCCGGTCGGTTGTCCCGCTTCCTCGATTACGTTGGCGTCATGACACAGGGTCTGCACCACCCGGCCAACGCTACTGACCGCATTCTGATACCACTCCACCATCAGAGAGAGCGCAAAGGTAGAAGCGTCGAGGACTTCATCGAGAACGTCATTTCGAGCGGCCTACCTCGAAGCAGAGTGCTCCTTGCCGTATCCTTGTCAGGCTTCGTGTGCACAATGTCTCGGCTTCCAGAGAACAAGGAAGTTCCCAGGTGGATCGACACACATGCCGTCCGTGTCCTCTCGTACAAGGAGGCCTGTCAGTTGATTCGACAAACCGATTGGACCCTGTCCTACGACCGGGAGAGTGAGAAGCCGCACGCGTGGCGCAACAACGTCTGGATTGGATACGAGGACGAGATAAGTGTGCGCAAGATGGCCTCACTCGTGGATAAGATGTTCCTCGGTGGCGTCATTCATTTTGGATGTTGGAAACGATGACCATTCTGGGCGCTGCGGGCCTACCAACCCGCTTGTGAGAGCTATCTTTACGGAGGTTGAAGGGACACCTATTGACTGACAACTCAACGGCCATCATACCAAGCTTCAACTTAACAGACTCAGATGTGGTACGTTCGCTCAACAAAACTTCCGGAAAGGCTGAGAAAGAAGTGCAGTAAAATTGTGCCAAAGTGTCCCGGTCATTTTTTGTGTGTGGATGGTATGCAGAAAATGGGTTCACATCACGAGGTAATTCTGCAATCGTGCTTCCAAGTATATAGTAGTTACTGTGTGTAATTACCTGCTGTTACTTACTTAACTGTTACTTCCTGTAACTTCCTCTGTGACTTCCCGGTTGGTCCGGGCTTTTAAACAACACGTGCCAGTTGTGAGCTTGAGCTTGCGGCGGATTTGAACGTGCTGTCGTGAGCATTACGAGATGAAACTTGTGGCGAATCGCACTCGAATGGCGCTGTTAAAAGGACATTAAAGAGCAAAACAATTTTTCGCATATTAGTAAAGTACATTTTCACAACCCAAGTAACACCATTATTACCACAAGACTATATACGCTTGGTATATAGCGCTTGGTATATAGCCAGAAAATGCGCGAAAATAAAATGCTGGTGGTGTTAAGTTTGGCCCGGCGATTCGTCTGGGCAGACACCATTGTGCATAAGCCGGTCTACTGGGGGGGGGGGGGGGGCTCTCAGCTCCTTCGGCGCCCAGTCTGCCAGACGCTGTTGAAGATTTTGGCAATTACTCAGACCATGCGGCAAGCAAAGGCGAGTTCCTGACTTTCAAATGCGGACCCTTTCGTCGTCCCTTCGAGCAGCAGCGGTGCCTGATGACCTCGGCGACTCATCTGGCGACGGGGAAGCTGACTGACCGGCGCCAGAGCTGACAGGAGAGCGGCGCTCCTTTTAATCCCCAATCAAGTAGCCGACCGGCCGGTTGCCTATGCCCGCCAGGTACTGTCCCTGCTAGCCGGAGGATGAGACGTCGTGTCGCCACGACATCGTAAACAGTTCCAGAGAGGACAACAAAGAAAGCATCTTCCTGGAAGAGACCGCGGCGGCCACCGCAAATCACCCCGCTAATTGAGCGAACCGATCGGCGGACCTTTTGAGGTATGCTGTCAGGACCGTGGGACCTCTCGACTAGCGGCACACACACGACGAGGAAGAGCCCCGCTGGAGCCACCTTGCAGTGCAGTGATCACGACTCAATATTAGACGTTCACGTGGACTGTGCATGCTCGTCCCCCCCGCCTGATGTGTGTGTGTGAATGGTGTTCCACTCGGAGAGGAGGAGCCCGACAGGGTTTAAAACGACGCCGCAGAGTGCTGGACGTCGCTCTGAACTATGTAACGTTCAACCACCACGCTCGTGGTTTGGAAAACCCCTAACCTTTCTTTGCTGTAAATATGTGTAAATAGTGGCATAAACCTGTTTGTTTTCGTATCCTCTTGTCAGCGTTCATTTCCTCCACCCGGTTACACCACACTACCACAAGAGACCGGTTAGACCCCCATTCGCAACAACTGGTGGCAGTGGTGGGATGCCATCATCAGCGAACTTCCTTCCTTCAACCTTAACAGTGGAGACTCCACCTTGAGGTCACGCACCAAACCCCGTGCCGTCATAAATTTTGAAAGCGCTTACTGTGACGTAGATTCTAATCGATAAAATTGAAACTAATTGTCATCTGTGGGTGCCATAGACCTAGCATATGAAGTTTCTGAAAAATTCATCGAGCCAATGGCGCAAAAATACGAAAGATACATTTCGAAATTTCTGACGACACGCTGAGTTTTCAGCGCGAAAGTTAAAGATGAAACTTCAACTGTCTTTCCTCGCTAATAATAAACTTATGATAGTCAAACGTATGGCATGAGAGTTATCAGAGTGTAAATTATCAGTCTAAACCAAGTCGTTGTTTCTATTTAGTGTCTCTGTAATTATTACGTGGAAAGGGCCAGTAGAATAGCCGGAGGGGGGCACACTGGTCCCGCGCACCCTGAAATTTTAGGGGCGAAGCTCCCTAAAGAGGCCCTCCAACACTAGTGAAGCACCGATTTTTTTAATTTGTGGTTTGCGTAGATCGATAGCTGGAGATAATTTATTATACATCTAAATGCCGGTACCAAATGATTTGATATTTTAATCCCTCCATTGCTGCCAAGCACATCACCGTGTAATGGCTCTCACCAGAACTTTGCTGGTGGAAATGACGCGAGAAGGTTTCCGCCATATGATTGGATAAATGTAACGTTAGAAGTGATCGTGGTATATATAGGATCACAACTGAGGTTACTAATCTGTTTCACTTCTTTGTACTGTGCCTTTTAATCAAACCCTGAACAGACGCGGCCACAACAAAAAAGATCACTGCGAGTACAAAGCACGACAGAGACACTGGCTGCCATTTCGCCACTGAATCTTTGGCTTGCGTGGGTCGGATGTCCATACGAAAGACCTGTCTCTCTATCTTCCATCTTCTTGCTTTGGGGAGTTTGCGAGCTACCTCTTTCCACACGTGCACTGTTAAATAATGAACAACAATGGTGCAATGCACCATTGTTTTTCATCGGGTGGCTCACCGAACTACGCGCGAAGGGTCGACAGTACTTCACTGTCCTGGTCGCTCCACAAGGTCCTTTCTCAGAAAAAGAGGAGTGCGTGACTCGGATCGCTAGCTAACCCTATCCAATCCGAAGCCTGTACTTCCCATAATTCCCAGGGGCGTACATGATCGCAGCACCAGATTCCTCTCTAGGTATTAGTGTATGAAACTCTATTAGGGTGGCTAGAATTGGGAGGTGTGAAAACCGGCGGCTTCAAGCTACCCTAACTGTATGCCCATCGCGCGCCCGCTGTCTCGAAGACCATGCCAGGACTGCAGCTGTTGCAGCGCGGGCTGGCCTACCACATGGATTATGGAAGGCTAATGCCTAGTTCACACTGAAACATCCGCTTTCTACAGCGACCGAAATTCCCCTGCCGCCGAAACGCAGCGTCGTTCGCACTGGACGCGCCCCGCGCCGCCGAATTTGCCATCTAGTACGGGGCGAACGCGGGGTGGATGCGCTGTCAGCCGGTTGTTGTCGCGGCTTGCAAATGCTACTACGCTATCCGGTGGTGTATACTTCGACGATTCTCGTACGCAAGAAGCAAGAAAAGACAGTACTGCTTACTTTGCTGGCAAGTGGCTTTTTTTTGTAATGCACGAAGAGCAGAAAAACCACCGACGCCAGCGGCGTCAGACCGCAACAAGCTCGGTCACGCCAACAACAAGCTCGGTCACCTCTTTCACGAAATACGGAGGCGAAGTAGGCACAGAGTAGGTTAAACTCCCGTTGGTTTCAACATTCAGTTACGTGCACTGCGACATAACAAGTGAGTAGGGCTTGGCCGCCATTTTTCAAAATTCCTTGACTAGCGCTCCTATTGGTCCGCGGTGACCGATTCGGCGGCGACGCCGGAAAAATTAGTCAGAGTGACCGGCGCGGAGAGCGCCCTTTCGGCGGATCTCGCCGCCGCCGAATCAGATTCGGCGTACTTTCGGCGGCCGGAATGCTCAGTGTGAACGCGGCCTAAGAGGCCCTTGCAAAGCGAGTTGCAGAGCAACAAGTGTGGCGGTAGTCACGTGCTTTTGCAGAGGAGTCGTGGGAATAGGCGGGCGCGCCGGCGTCTCGTGTCGTCTGCATCACTACTCGTATGACCGCGTTGTTGATATCCGGCTCGAGTTCTAAATGTGCATTTTTATGCAGCTGTTGCACTTCACAGATGATGTAATGCGTTAGAAGCCTACAGTGAGCGTTGGTCTTCACGGCTGCGAGTTTACTTTATCGCTTGAGGTCAAAGTCGGTCGTTTTCGAAGCTCGCGACCACTTCTCCCAAAATGGTTGGCGCCGCAGCTTCGTTGTTTTCATTCGGCACTGTGCTGTTGCGTGCCTCAGCGAAGGAAGCCTGAAATTCCTAGACGAGAACGGCAGCGTCTACGACTCACAGTGTGAGAGGTAGTGGTGAGCCGCTTTCGTGTACGACGGGCATCGGAAAGCACTACGTGACCCACTGTACACTACCGGAGCTTGCCGAGTCAAAAATTAGATGTGCCTGGTACAGTAACATAATTTATTGTTTGAATTATCGCGTCCTTTTTACGTTCGCACGTGGTAACCTGATCTTTGGCCAAGTGTTTTATTGTGATAGCAACTGTATGGATACTCTCGGCTGGATTTTGCCGTCGGCGTCGCAGTCACTCACCATATATGTGTACGTATCTACATATAGGACAATGCAAGAAAGGAAAAAGTTCAGATAAAGACTCCACTCCAGCGAGCGGAATCGAACTTCGGTCCTCTGAATCGGGAGTGCGAGGCGTTTACCACTCAGCCACGGAGGAGCACCTCCTTCATCGTTCAAACGGCAAGCCGTTTATTGCGATAGCAATTATATGGACACTCTGGGCTTGATTTCGCCGCCGGCATCGGTGAAATCCAGCAGAATGGCAAGCAGATCAAAACGTGCCCCGCGTTTCTCACGCACAAAGGACGCACGAAACGTACTCACAGGCATACAGATTAACGCGAATAGGCGTTTCAGTTGTTACTTCGCTGTGTCTAAAAAGCGTGCCCTTTTCGCAACCCGAGGCTGGGCAACGATTGCATTGACCTTTGTGCGCGCGATAACTACAACAGAATCGTTCCGACGAAACTCAAAGGCTAGCAAAGACGTACGATTCTCCCTCCTGCAAGGTAAGAGCGCGTGATCGAGCATACACCGCTTATTCTCTACGCGGGCCAAAGTAGGCGTGAGAGATGAGAGCCGCCGCGCGCTCACTGCGCCATCTTGCTGATAATGCTGAAAACACGATAGTACCCCCCGAAATGCCCGCCAACAGCGGTAAGTGGTAGATATGAATAGCTTGCCGTTTGAACGTTGAAGGAGGTACCTTTCGGTGGCTCAATGGTTAACGCCTCGCATTCACGATGCGG